TTTAATATCTTTCTCTGTGCAGCAGCTGGAACAAATGGTGGCCCCAGCTCCAGCAGGAGCTCCCAGCTGCCCGCCTCGCCCAGCGCTGCCCTACAGGCATTTTTGCCGTGGCTGTCTCAGGCTTTTTATAGTTTTTGCACACTTGTTGCATATAGGATACCTTACAGGTGTGGGCCTTCAGTGAAGCATTAGCTGGCTGTTTGGGGAGGGCTTGAGGTTTGTTTTTTTCTGGAGTCTTGCTTTTCTTCAGAAGAATTTCAAAAATGTGGGAAAACTTACTGGGTTCAGACTGAATTTGTGCTGCAGCATTTCACCATGAACTCACCAGAGATAATCTGAACTGTCTCACAGTGTGCTCCTCGGATGAGAGGGCAGGCACATGTCTGAAATGGTGAGTGGCTCTGCGAGTGCAGGTGCAGCACTGCCAGTGCAGGGCACTCACAGGGGTCACCCAGCCATGCGGCAGCAGCTGTGCCAGTGTCACAGCCAGGGGATTTCTCACTCTGCTCCTTGCCCTGGCCAAGATGCCTGAGTAAGTTTAAGCTTTATCACTTGCAGACTGTGATTGCTGTTTGCAAGGGAAGTGTTTGCTGTTGTCCTGACCTGTTCCTGAGTTACTTTAACACAGCAATAGCTTTAAACAGATGTCCAGTGCATAGCAAAGCTCCTGCTGGGATAATGCCGACTGCTGGGTCAGGGCCCTCTTCCCTGCAAGCTCTTACCCTTTGCCCACCAGCATTGTACTGGGGATTTTGGGGTTTTATTTCAGGTCAGTCATAAAACTGAATAGCAGTTTCATCTTAGCCCTAACTGGCCAAATAATTTGGCTCCTGCTGTTTCCAGTACAGTTGGTGTCCTTCAGGGGACTGTCCCCTGCCTGCATTGCCTCAGTTCAGCCTGAGAGCACATGCTTGGGAGAAATAAAAGATACCAACTGGGAAGGCCAAGCTGATGAGAAAAAGCACCCCAGGGAGGGCTGCACAGAGGCCAGCTCCCAAAGGATGCTGGCATGGTCTGTGCTGCAAGACTGTGCTCTGGGACTGGAGCCCTGGTGGCCGTGTGGTCTCTGAGGAGGAGACCAGCGAGGCTGAGTGGCTCAGGAGTGTCCTTTGAGCTGAGTGCTGTGGGGCACAGCTGTGTGTCCCTAGGCTATCCCTTTGTCAGTAGCCTTTAGTGTTTGTAACAGGTAACACATGCATGGTAAGGTGTCCTAAAACATAACAGGAGGTCTTCAGGTTGTAAACAACAGGTGCTCATTCTTAGTAATTTACTTTTTCCAAATCGCGTATCTTGTGCTGTGCTGTATGTCCCATTTCCTTTATTTTCCAGGTCATGTGAAAAGCCTTAGGCACAGAGAATAGAACTTCACTGGTGTGGTAATATATCATTTATGTGGTATCAAAGCTGTGCCAGGGACAGCTTCAACTAATGTTCAGCTTCTACAGATTGTCTTGGAAATGAGAAGAGAAATGGAAATTTAATCCTCATTCACTTTATTGTGGTTTTAGAAGCTGCTTGAGTACCTACTTGCACCAAAATGTTATGTTTTGGTGGGTGGATGAAGTATAATTTCTGTACTGAAATACCGAAGAACCTCACGTAGGACAGTGTGCAATTATGTAATTGTCTCATTGAAGGCGTGTGGACTGATTGGGTTTTGTAGATTTTCAGGCTGTGCTGAGGAGAAAAGGCACTCTATGGACCATGCCTGAATTAGATATAAATGTCACCAGTGTGCCAGGGAGAGCTGGTTGTGGGCCTGGTCAGCAGGTGCTCAGCAAGCCATGGGGAACGGAGTTCCCCCTGTAGGAGGTCATGTTGACCAAGATTGGATCTCTGTCAGTCTCTCAAGTGTTTCTGCAGCTGTATGCGTTGTCTTTGGAGGATTTGGGGAGACAAATGTAGTAGGGATGCCATGTTTGTGGGAGGAGAAAGCCAGTGGGTACGGACTGGGAAGCAGTAGAAGCAGTCTCGTCAGCACAGTTTTGTACCTCATTGTGAGGCAGGATTTGGCCATGGTTCCCAGCCCTGGAAAGCAGTAGTGCCCACTGAGAGCAGTAGATGGTGGAAGGGGCTTGGCAACATCCCCAGTCCAGGTGTCCCCAGGGTAAATGGTGCAGGGCAGTGTCCATGGGACTGGATGGGGTGCCTAGGGCCAATCCCTTACTGCAGCAGCAGGTGGGAGGGTTGAGAGGGTGGCAAGAGGGGCATCCAGGTGCCTGCATATGAGGGCTTGGTCTCCTGCCCTGAACCCTCTCTGTGAGGAAGGCCCAGATAACCCATCTGGGTTGCCTTGTAGGGCAGGTGATGTGGCAGAACCACTTGAAGTCCCTAGGGCTTTTGGAAAATATGTCATCAGGTCTTTCTCCTCCTGGTTTCATTGTGCATGTGTCAGCCTGTGTGTCCTCCTGCTGTTGATCACTGTGGCCATCTCGGTGAGACCAGAGGGAACAGGGAGGCTCAGCCTGTGCCCACTGAGCCCCCCTCGGCTGTCTCACTGGGGCGACCAGCAGGATTTAGCTGCCAGAGATCCCCGGGTCTCCCCAAAGCAGTGTGGGGCAGGCAGGCTGGAAAGCTTTGCATTATTGCTATTTTTTATTATTACTTTTTTTTCCTCCCAGTTTCTGGCTCTGCAGACCCCCAAATGCTCTTAATGGAGATATGGCCCGTTTATATGTTAATTTTAAGCCCGCTGACAAGCGGTTTGCTTTTCTCCTGACTTCTCACGGTTCCTCTTCCCGTTGAAAGCCGCTGCCATGGGCTTAGGGGATAAGGTGCTGAGAATTAGAAAATAAAATAAAATCTGCAGGATGCTGGAGAGCGAGGGGGTACAGGGATTGGCATGCTCCAAGTATAAATGGGTGATTTCTGAAAGCAAGGAACCCTGATACCAGGGGCGTGCATGACAATTACATCCAGTACAATACAAAATGTTAATTACTAAATTTTGAGAAATTAATGCTGATTAGCAGCTGTGTGTGTGTGTGACCTAAATACATCTATTGCTTATCTTTATTCATAATATACAGTTTATTGTTGATAAAGTAATGGCTGAATGGTGGGCTGGCCCACGAGTCTCATAGCTAAAGAGGCCTGATTTGTAAATCGTCTGAAATTTGTTGGCATCTGTTTTTTGTGGAATTTATACGGATGGGGAAGATGAATAGCAGTCTGAGCTATCCCCTTTACAACTCAACTCATAGATATTATTGAGAATTCGTATTGCTTTTATTATTTGGTCACAAAAATGGACCTAATGCTTGTTGCCTTTAAAACACCTACTAGCGCTGCTTTCTCTCTCCATCTTGCGAAATATAAGACAAGGCCGAAGCTTAAATTAAAATCCTCAGGTTCTTATCTCTTTCCCACAGGAAAGCAAATCTGTGTTGAAAACCGTAAAATTAAGAGGAGAGCAAGGATAGCATAATTTAGCAAAAATTCATGGCACCAGATTCTGAGCTATATGACTGGAGGGATAGGTCAGACATTAAGAAGATACTGCCTGCTAATGCAAGTTCCTTAAGGTGGTGCTCTGGAAACAAGAAAAGCAGAAAATGCTGCACTGGTTCCCATGTGCTCCCTTTCCTCTACTCCTACCAGCCTTAACAATAAATTGAGTTGTCCATTTAATAACCTGTGTTTTTCCAGAAGTCCAGAAAAATCATGGACTTGTGCATGGAGCTTTGTCTTAACATCTGCTTTGTGCCAAAATTTCAACAGTGACCTCAATGAAAATTAATTTCATTGGCCTCTTAAATTATTATTATTATTATTGTAATTCCTTATGTTTGGCAGCTGTCCTTACTGTCAGTGTGTCTGGCTGAAGGATAGCATTTTTTTTTTTTGGGGGGGGGGGGGGGGGGGGGTTGGTTTATCAAAAACCTGTTTGTTCCATAATTATTTGTGCTAAGGGGCAAGGTAGAGTGGCAGGGCACAAATGAGGAGTGCCTGTTACATGCTGGCATCATCACTGTGCCTCGTCCCACCTTGGAAAGAGCAACTTGAGTTTCAAGCAGCACTAATAATGCAGGATTTCATTGGGATTGAGGAGTTCTGTTGTCTTGCAGCCTTGATCTTAGGGGGTAATTTTGGACAGCATCCTTCTGTCATGCTGCCTGCCTCCTCCCCTGTGCCTCTGCACTCTGGGAAGTGCTGGTGGGAAGTGTGCATCTTGCCCTGCAAGGACATCACCTTATGGCACCCATTTCAGGACCCTTGTGGGTGTTTGTAGTGGTTTGAGTTCTCCTTGATAGAGTCAGAGGCCTCCCAGCTCAGCAGGTTTCCCCTTTAGCTGAAGCTCTTGAGAGGCCACTGCCAACTGCTCATATATGAAGTCAGCCTTCTGAGGGTGACCCTTTAGTTACCCAGTAGACAGACAAGAGTTTTCAACCAGAGTTTGTAAAACTGCAAGGGAACCTGCTGTTCCTCTGGTGATGGCAGGGGTTTGTCCCATCTGTGCCATGCCACAGCCATGCAGGAAGAGCAGTGGGGAGGAAGAGGGAAACTGATGAAGCTTTTAAGGCTGGAGATATGGCAAACCTGTACTTTAAGCCTTCTTTTTTTAAATGCTGTTCCCATAACCAAAGGGTTTCTCCAGCGCTGCTGCTAACTCTGCTGTCCTGGGTCACAGCCCTTGGTGCACAGTGCCTGCCCGGCACGTTGCTCCTCCTGCCCTGCAGCTCTCCATTTGCCATTTCCGCAGCCCTGTCTCAATGTCTCCCAAATGCCTTTCTTCCTGCTCCCGGCCCCCACCCATTTCCCTGCATTTCCTCAATATCTGCATCCCTCTTCGGGTGCCAGTGGTTTGAGGATGCCGATTCTGGCAGCAAACCTGCTTTCCATCCACTAGCCCCAATGTCATGTCTGTCCATCTGTTTCCCCTGCTCAGTAATGCAAATATTTAAAAATAGCATTTTGGAAATGTTGGGTGGTTTGTTTTTTTTATCAAAGCAGAAGCCTCACCTCGCTAACGCAATTTAATCTTTGTTCTTCTCTTGCAGTCCAACAAGGTGCCCGTGGTACAGCCTTCTCATGCGGTTCACCCCCTCACCCCTCTTATCACCTACAGCGATGAGCACTTTTCCCCGGGGTCACACCCGTCTCATGTCCCCTCTGACGTCAGCTCCAAACAAGGTGAGCCCATCCTTTCCCAGCACAGTGGGGATGCAGGGTGGCCCTGGTGCCCTTTGTGCTGCTGACAGAGCCAATATTACCAATTTGTAATATTTTAGAGGGAGGTTTCCAGGTGCATATGCCCACTTTCAGAGATGGTAATTCTGCCCTGATGCTGATGCTTAACTTGGCTACTTAAATTTTTATGCTCCTTCTAATGTGATAATTTGGGCTTGCTTTTCTCATCAAAGTCTTTCAAAATCTCAGTAAACAGCAGCCAGTCTTCACCATCTCCTGTGGTGCCCAAGGCTTGCAGCATGCAAATACAGAAAGGGCAACCATCCCTCACCTCGAAAACAGGGGACAAGTGCTTCAGTAATGGTGTTTTTGAAAGATTTTCTTTCACTTTATTTTGTGTCCTTGTATTCTGGCTGTCCATATTCTTCTGTATGTTAGTTAGCATAATCAAAGCATCATAATCAAAGCCCATAAAAATAGTTTTGAGCCTGTGCAAGTAAAAGCTTTACAAATCTGACAGTTTTTAACCTTCTTGTGCTGGCTGCATTCTGCAGAAAGCATCTTTTTAGATGTCCGAGTCAGTTTTCTCTGCACCTCTAGGAGCCCTTAAGGAAAACACAAAAGCCTCCTAGATCCACATCTAGGAATGGCAGAGCAGCCCTGCTCAGGGTCAGTCTGCAGGCCCCAGGGAAGAGCAGTCAGTCTCCAAGGTGTCAATCCCAGCCTGTGCCAAGTGCTGCTGCCCAGTACCCAGGAGAACACAAGGGGTTCCTGGGAAGGGTGTGCTTGCTTGCAGTGGGTTGTAGGAGCTGGGGAGGGATGTGATGGAAGTTGGGGAGGTGCAGAGGGAGGACTGGCCATGGCCTTCACGGGCCTGAGCCAGGGTTTGGTGAGAACCTCAGCAGAAAAAGCCTGCATGGGAGAGCTGGTGGTGAGGAGGGAAGGAGAGAGAGCAGAGACTTTACAAAGGCATTCACTGTAGTCTGGATATCTCTGCATGGGCAGGAAGCCGTCAGTGCCACGACCGGGCCTGGAGGGTGCCTCTCCCTGCCTCTCTCTGTGCTCACGTGTCCCACCATGCGCTGTGGCACCCATTTTTGACAAAATCCTGAAGCTCTGCTTTACCTGGGCACACATCCATATGCACAGTTGTCCCATTTATTTGAAGAGGCTTTTAGTCATCATTGTTCAGGGAGAGAGACTTTTTTTGTTTTGTCTTTCCCTGAATGCCTAGGTTTTACTTTGGCTGAGCTGTGGAGATAATAACATGGGCTACATCCAGAAAATGCTATGGCCTGGTGGCTCTGTGTGGTTTTTGCTGTTTGTTGGTTAGGTTTTGTTTTTTTCTAGGGAGGGGGAATACAAAAAGCACTCTGCCTGGAAAGCCTGGCCTGTAAATACGCATACAATATCTTTTTCAGACTTGGAAGAAGCAAATGAAGACCTCCTGTCCTCATTTGTCTTCCTCCTTTGCATCAGTGCCCAGGAGAAGGATATTCACACTCATTCCTTGAAATCCCAGGGGTGCCATGCGATAAGAGAATGGGATTTCCACCTCTTGCAGAAGCTGGCTGTGACAGCTGGGGCACAACCCGCTGCTGCAGTTTGTGAGCTTAAGAGGTTTCTGCTTACTGCATGCTGAGTTTGCCCTTCTGTGCCCCATCTTTTTGCCTTTACCCCAGTTTATTTTTGTATTCCTGCACAGCAGACCCCAACTGAGCAACATCTGGTTTGTTGGTTTCTTGTTTCTGCATCATCTCTTCTGCTTCTTCTCTACCCTCTCCCCTGTCCAGCATCCCACCAGTCAAGAGTGCAAGCCTGCGGAGGGCCTCTGCCAGGAGGCACAAAGCTCATTGCCCTCTGGAGTTCCTGAACGGGCTCTTGATCCCTTTGCTCAGTGTCTGGCAGAGATGGAGATGGATGATGTGGATAATGCAGGCTGGAGACTACTGGTTTTGTCTGGGATGGTCTCCTTGATGTGTGTGGTCTTTCCGTCCGTACTCCCTGTTTCGGCGCCACCGGCGTGTGGGAGCAGCCACAGTGAAGTAGCCCATGTAGTTGCTGCAAAGAGAGGATTTTTTTTTTTCCTCAGGTCCTCTGCCAAATGCCTCCAACCATTGTTTCTGTCCTCGCCTCCCACTGTGGGTCTGGAACAAGGCACTGCCCTGGCGCCCTAGCCCTGGTGCCCTCCTCCCATCAAAATCCTCCAACAAGGGGGTCCACAGCTTGCCCTCAGCACTGCCTCTCGCACCCAGGGCACTTTGGGATGGACACACAGCACTGCCTTCCAAAAGGCACTCACTTCTTTATTTTTTTAATTTTATTTTTATTTTTCCTTAACCCTCTCAAGAGAACTTGCTTTGGAGGGCACTGGCCATGTGGTAGCTCTGTGTGCTCCTGAGGGCACTAGGTGCTGGTAGCCCTCCATAAGGGGCCAAAAGTTTTGGATTAGCAGTAACAACTGTGCATTAGTTAAGAGAGAGTAGTGTTGTCTCCGTGGGTCAGAACTGCAGATTCTGGGGAAGGAGTGGCCCAGCTCTTTGTGCCAAACCTGGTCTGGCTGGGGGAAGGTCATGTCATCACTTCCAGGAGCATCAGTCATCATCAGAGATGTGGGAGATGAGACTCTGGGCTTCTTTTACACCTTGTTTGGTTTTCTTTTCTTTTAACCACTCAGAAAGAGTGCTTCCTCTCATGTAAAAGCCCTGGGATATGTAAAGTGTTTCCTTTCCTGTCAGCTACCAGCTGTTTTACACCTTTGAAAAGACAGCTGGCCAGAAATTTGATCCTCACTTAGGGTGTGGTTCCAAGTCTGAAAATTCAGGGTTTTTGAGACAATGACACCACTGGTATTATTTTCCGTGCTTTCCTGCACACGGTCCCGACAGATATTCTTCAAATCTTGTAATTAAATTCAGAAGATTTAAGTACAAACTGGCAGAGGAATAAATCAGTACCATCAGTCTGTAAACTAAGTCTCAAGGTAGCACACGCTCAGTCTTGGACCTTTGGAGTGTTACCACATAAATATTTAATACCCTTTTAAAGCAGCTGATTTAGCTGTGAAGTAGACTTAACAATTCCTTCTGCTTCACCCCCTCTTCCCCAAACACATTTAAATAAACCAATGTCTTTGTGGCCTCTGCAACTGTAATTCCATGTCTCCTGGGGGCACAAGGTTTAGGTGAAGAATGGAGACCACAGACCCTTTTGGGATAAGGATTAGCTTTAATCTTGAGGTGATTCTTGCAGTTGTAGGACTCTGTGTTCTGGGGAATGTGAGCTGATGGATCATTCCTGATGGGACTCTTATTTTTCCATGGAATACTGCCATTGCAAAACAGATTGACCTTGGAGCCCACAGGAGTCAACTTGATGAAGAGCTTAGTTGGAACTGGAGTGACAATTGGAAGCCAAATGAATCATATCAAGTGTGACCATTACAGGCCTGAAAATGATTCTTAATTAACCACTGATCCTCTGTGGTAGCAAGTTTCCAAAATCTGTGAATCCATAAGGGGACCCATGAAAGTATAAAAGTAGCAATTTACCTAATCTAATAGCTCTGCTGTGCTGCCTCTTTGACAACGCTGTGTTTTCCCCTTGTTTCATGATGTGTTAGAGGAGGTCCTCAGGATCCTGTTGGGCTTGGTGAGACCATTGAGAGGACAGTAGCACCTAATGCACTTCACAGGAGATCTAAACTTGCATAGGTCCTTACCCATACATCTATTTCCTCCTTCCCTGCTGTTTTTTCTGGTATCTCCCTTTGAATTGCAGTATCGTGCACAAATTGTTTTGCAGGTGGCCTGTGGGACCCTTTTAACACTACCCAAGGTGGTTATTCCTTATCCACAGCACTAGTTCCACTGTAGTATCAGCTGGGAACTGTAGGTCATATATGGAGTATTTTGAGAGGAAATCACTCATTCTTCTGTGCTTTTTAACAGGCATGTCCAGGCATCCTCCAGCTCCTGATCTCCCTACCTTCTATCCCTTGTCTCCAGGGGGGGTTGGACAGATAACACCACCTCTTGGCTGGTAAGACTTTTTAGCTTCTTTTCAGACAGGTGCATGTTCACACCATTCACTATTGTTGAATCAATTGCAGCAATTACAAAATAATAATAACGTCATTCCAGTAAGAAATTGCTGCTTTATTTTAGTTGAAAAGATGAAAAAAATGTCGATCTTTGAAATTAAATGAATGTATTTTTTGAACACGTACAGGAACTGAAGTGTGTAGATTTCACTTTGAAGTCTGTATGTTTCTTATGGCTCAGATTTGTGGCTCTTAGCTTTTGGAAAGATAGCAGGAAACAGTTCTCAAGTAATTAAATATAAATTTTAATAAGCAAAATTGCAATTACTGAGGAGAGGGGAGGTAAGAAAGAACTTTGAAGTGTGGGGGGTGGGGGAGGAAAATCTTGAAACTGCCCCAAATGGAAACCAAACTTTTGTAGCCTGCTGGTTTTTACAGTTTCTGTATTGAGAGAAGCCTCTGTCACTGGGAGATCTTGCTGCTCTTGCTAATACTAGCACTCTCATGATCTCTTGCTGCCACTCAGGGTGTCATTTTTCTTTTGGAGGAAATGTGGTATTTTCTGAGGAATAGATTTGGCAGGGTGCTTCATGTCTGCTTGGGGTAGATATGTACTTGCCTTCAGTTCTCTTGGAGCAGGGAATAAGGCAACTCAGCCACAATTTCAGTGCTTTAGAATCTGTATTGTGACTAGTCTGTGCCCATGCAATGAGGGATGCAGATTTTTTTTAATGTTTTTAATGTCTCCATGGGAGGGAAACATGATCCAGATGACAACAGGCAAAGAAAGTAGAGAGCAGAAGATGGTGAAATGTTGTGTAGCTGGCATATCTTTCAGGAAAGGCCACGTGCCTTTTTGGAACAAATAATTAGTAGATATCAAACTAAAATATGGAAGTATCTGACAATCTATTTTTTTTAATCTTTCCCCCCACCCCCTTCCGCATTTTGCTGCTTAGCTGACTCCTCATTTCCACTGCCACTAGGCAGTTGCTAGCATGCATTTTCCAGATGTGGTCAATTATTTCTTCTGAATGGTTTCTCAGAGCAGAAACTGGGGGGAGGGAAGAGGGAAAAGAGAAAGAAGAGGAGAGACAAGATCCAACCTTTCAAGGCTCAGGGATGTGTTCAGCAGCACTCACCAACAGCAGGACATACTCAGCTGTCCCTTATGCTGTGGCTCCCTGCTGTGAGGTAGCACTGTTGAGACTTCCTTTAATTTTTATTTTTTTTTCATTTCCTCTTCCCTTTGAGCATTGGTCATTTCCAGTAATATGCTCCAAGAGTGAAATCTGTGTCCTGAACCTTACAAAGGCCAGGTTCCATTTTTCCTCATCTGAGAGCTGACTGACCAGTCGATAAGCAACTGTTTGAATAGGATTGATGTGTGTGGTGTCCCTCTGGCTGGTAGAGGTGTTTGGGCTGGTACTTGCTCACATTACCATCGCATGCTACTTCAGTGTGTTCACTGTAGTCATCAAGTAATCAAAATGTAGTAATGACAGTAAAAATTAAAGACCTCAAATGATGGACTGGTGGCAAAATATTCTGTATATATGGGAATGCAAAGGAGGCAAAAACTTCACACAAGCTTCTCTTACTGGAATGCAAAGTTTGATCTTTAAATAGTAAGATAGGCTTGTGTCGCTGTGGGCTTTTATGTGGTTGGGTTGGGGTTTTTTTATGGAATCAGTTTCTACTTAGTAAAGCTGTCCACTTGTACCTCACTATAGCATATGCTAATGGAGAGAGTCCTAAGTTTTCAAAGATTTAATAAAACTGTTCAAAAGGCTTTTTAGCTTAATAATTCACCATCTGGTGTTCTCACTCTGATCTACAGTAGAACTATTCGGAATAAGATGCTTTTTTCCTAAGAGCTTGTTTAACAAATCTGATTCCAGTGCTTCTAAAACTAGGTGAGAGAGGGATGGAGATAGAGAAGTGTGCATGAGTCTGTGTGCCTTGGGGGAGGAAGGCTGGTTATTTTGCTTTCCCTCCCAGTGGAAACTTAGATTTCCACTTTCAATAGCAAGGGAGAAAGTTCAAAGCGTTAAGTATTCATTAGTTTCATTAGCAGAACTCTTGAAAGTGTTAGCTCTTACTATTTATTTGTGATTAGTACTGAATTCCCATCAAGAGCTTGTAACTCTAGAATAACCACTGAGTACCATATCATATGATTGATGGGTTCCTTTCTTCTGTGACCTCAGGCAAGGTCAGCCTGTATATCCCATCTCGAGTGGATTCAGGCAGCCCTATCCATCCTCACTCTCAGTCGACCCTTCCATGTCCAGGTAGGTGTAGGAGGTGAATGACTGAGTGGGGAGTAACTGCTGGCATTAGAGGGCAAGTTGCTCTTCTGCTTGCATCTTGGTCTGCCTTTGCTTGCTTTTCAGTCAGCTAAACCCTTATGCATACATTTTTATTTAACTTTTGTGTGTATATGCAGTTTGCCTGGATCCCACACTGGTCTCATTCAGCATTTTCTTGTCAGTCTCTGAAGTGTTGCAATGAGGAGCACCCAGTGAATTGTCAACAATTAATTGAGCTGTTTCATCTGAAATGAGTCATTAGTTCATTTCTAGATGCAACACATGGTGTTGTGCATAGCATCCTTGGGTTTTGCTCATGTCAGTATGCAACCAGGTGGATTGTCACTCTAGTCTGTGTTCTCTAGTTCCAATTTCAAAGTTGTTGGTAATTAGTCTTGAATCACGTAGGTAATGCTCTGTGTGGAATCTTGCTCACAAGTAGGTATTTCATAGCCCAAAGCCACTAATGGCAGGGGATGCCAGCACAGTAATTGCACTGGTGTGTGACTCAGGCACTGTGTTTTTATGTCTAAGTGCAAGCAAGCAATGCTAATTGAGACTTGGCCATGACACACTCCAGACCTCCTATGCTCTGCTTTCGCATTCTAAAGACAGCTTCTGCATCCTGTGCTTGGTGTACAAGAGGTTGCAATATACAATTCTTGGGGTTTTTTTCTGTCATCTGTAGAAGAGACATCCTCCTGCACAGGGATTTAAGGCAGGCCATTGATAAGTGGTAGGTCCTCTTACCTCTTTGTGTGTGGGCTCCTTTGGATTATCACTGTCCCTTCGCTTCTTTACAGGGGAATGATAAACATGTGCCTGTCAGGGTGATTGGGAAGAAAACACATTCTTTCTACGTGATAAAATCACTTGATTTGGTTACAGGGCTTTGTGTTTCCTTTATTTTGATCATGAAGGAAAAGGGCAGCAAGGAGACTAGGGAATGGTGAGAGGCTGGATGGCATTCCTTAGCCTTCACTCGTTCAGCAAAACTTTGGAGCATGAGCTTTTCATGTTAACCGTACTTTTCACCAGTTTAAAATACAGCATGCAGGTTTTCTGCTGCACCCGAGCTTGCAATGCTCAGCACCTTCAAGATCTGTCTCAGCTATCCTTGAGAACTACCTGGGTTAGTAGGGTGGGATTATTCAGTTAGTGGTATTTTGATTTTATTTTCCATTTTCCTTCTTGTACAAGTGAAAGGAAGCTTTAATTAGGACAAAAAATCTCTCCCTGCTCGCATCCTTCATTGAGGATGCAGGATTTTCAAAGTTTCTTTTAAGCATTTGAGGTAAGAATAGTGGGTTTAGATGAAATTATGTTAAAATCTTTTACCTTAAGTACTTTGAAAAGTAAAGAGAGCCATCAGGGACTTCTTGAAAATACTCTTCTTTCATTTTATTTGTTTCTGCATGGCAGTTTCCTCCTTTGCATTGGCTGGTGGTGGATATTTCAAGGATGTTTATATCTTGGTGTGGAAATACATTTTTTTGGTTAAGAAATGTGTATTTTTATTGCTAGACAGTGCAACAGTACAAATGTTAAATATTTCTTGTGTGCATTGCTAAAAGTGTCTGCCTGAAAAGTAGTAAAACAACTCCTCTACAACCAAAATGTTGACTCATTTGTTTGTTTTTCTTGAGTAATTGGGCTACAATGCACAAATCTTAGGCAAATATTTTTGGTGTACTCTTTAAGAGATGTCTTCATTGCAAGCTCCATAGCATTTGCATTCTTGGAGTGTCCTGTTGCTGTCATACATGTTTGATGCCTGTCCTCAGTGGGGTTACAGACCTTGCCTTGTTTTCTCTTTTAGGTTTTCACATCATATGATTCCTGGTCCTCCAGGCCCTCACACAACTGGAATCCCTCACCCAGCTATTGTAACACCTCAAGTAAAGCAAGAACATCTGCACAACGACAGTGAGCTCATGCATGTGTGAGTCTGCCTTTCTGCTCTAGCCCTTAATGAAATGTTTGAGAACTAATTCCATCTGAAGAAGTCAAGGATGCTTTAAAAAATGTGCCTTTCATGACCTCTTTGAATTTTAACTCTTCTCCTATAATGAAAACAGGGACTCTGGGCTACTGTTTACTAAGAGTAATGAGAAGCCATTTTTCATTCCAGTCCAGCACTTTTAAGCTGTTGGCAACAGTCCTCTTGATTCAGTCATAATCATGGACCTGTCCAGTTGTGACTGGTGCTTGAGTGTGACCTCATGAACTTCTGCTGGAAAAGTTCTTACCTGCAAAATTCGCTAGTAAAAAGCAGTCTCATTGCTTAGTACTCAAAGGAAAAGACCTAGGAAAGAAGGGGATGAGAAGCCACTCTCCTGCCTGTGGCAGTGGTCTTAGAGTACCATGGAGAGCCTTTCAGAAAGAGAATTGAGACAATTTTGGAGCAGATTCACAGATTAAATGTTACTTGCTAGAGAATGTCAACCTGTTGTCCTCCCTGAGTATTAAACTAAAAAGATATGAAAGCGGATGGGACATGACCACTGAAATTCTCATTCCTACTACTCAAGTGCTACTGTAACCACAAGTTAGTAATTTTCCATTGGATCTTTTTAGGTTGAAGGCAAATTAATACTTTTTTTCCTTTCCTTTCCCTTTCCCAACCACGTTTTAGGAAGCCTCAGCACGAACAGAGAAAAGAACAAGAGCCAAAAAGACCTCATATTAAGAAACCTCTGAATGCTTTCATGTTGTACATGAAAGAAATGAGAGCAAACGTTGTAGCAGAGTGTACTCTGAAAGAAAGTGCAGCTATCAACCAGATTCTTGGCAGAAGGGTATGTACAGCAGTGTTTGTGAGCGCTCACGTGTGCTGCTAATTTGTGTTTCCCTTTAGCTGGGTGTGAAGGCTTTCTGCTTGAGGTGATAACTGATGTGCAACTATCAAATTAGCTATAGAAGATACAACATGCAACAAAAATAAAAGCAGTATCTTGATTTTCTTTTTCAGCATTAGCAACATCATCAAATTATTTTTTGTTCCTCTCACGTTGTGGTGTCAGCATCTCAGACATGAAATACCCTCAGTCATACACAGAAGGAGCATTCTGATCATATTCTGGGTCCTCCCTTAGGATACTGTCCATCAGGGCAGGAAGGGATCATTCAGAGATGAACGCTGGATGCCACTGGAGATGAAACTCAAAAGTGAATATAACGTGGCACAGTTGTAGTCATGCAGGAGGGACCCACAGAGGTCATGTAGTCCAACATCTGCACAAAGCAGGTCCAGTTACATCAGGTTGCTCAGGAACCTTCCCAGCCAAGTTTTGAATGTCTTCTGAAGTCATCAGCTGTGGACTGATGATCCCAGTTCATGTACCACAGCCATGCTCAGCACTGTATGCTTCTGTGGCATCGCAGTTGTGTTTTGTACTTTCCATGCTCACAAAAAACCCTATGCAGGCCAACTCACAGTACAGCCTTTGTGTTCTCTGCCAGTGTTGTTCTTCCAAGGGAAGGCAGCGGAGGTAAATGCCCATTGTGCAAATGACTCCCAGAAATGAGGAAAGGGGTGACTTCTGTATTGATCTGAGTTTGAGTAGGGATTATTCAAATTCCCAGTGAATACCTCCTTTTGATCACTGACCAAGGCAGTATTGAGAGGCACTGTGACTCTTTGAAAACCCTATACTTTTAAGTGGGAAACCTGTACATGACCTTAAAGTGCTCCTTTTATATTAGGGTTGGAAGACTTCCCCCTCCAAACAGAGCAGAAATCTACTGGTACTTGTCCCAGTTCATCCAGTCTTCTGCTTTCTGTTGTTCCTCTTTCCTCCTCTTAAAGGGCATCTTGATATTTGCCTTTTCCGTGCTTTCATCCAAGATCCGAGTCTTTAGGATCATGTGTGGGCCATTTGCTTAAGAGTTGGACTTATGATCCTTGAGAGTCCCTTTTGAGTCACAGTATTCTATGATCACTACCCTTACAAGTGATGGCAGTCCCAGATGATTGAGCTTCGTTGCTTAGTGTGTCAGCCTTGTTTTCTTGGCCTGAACCAGGGCGGTGGCTTATTTATCTCTGTTTTGGTAAGGAATCAGCCTCAGCCTTGTGTGCTTTTTCTGCAGCTTGGACTCCTCTTTTCAAGTTACTGTTCTCCTTGAAAGTACCTCAAATTCCACTTTTCCTGTGGTGCAAACAAGGCATGAGTTATCCAATACAATTGCTTGGACATTAATTACTGTCAAGTGTTTTGTGTTCAGTCATCCTGGTCACTATTTACCTTGCGCTGTCCCAGAGGAGGAGCCACCTTTGTTCTCATGAGGTGACACTTTGCATGCTGCTGGGCTCCCTGATACCATAGCATTGTGTTCACTATCTTCCAGTTTTTGGATGTGCATGTAGAGTTTGAGAGTTGCAGACAGGCTGAGCTCCTGGGCTGTCAATAACACATCCACCTTGCCAAGTCAAGGCAGATAAGAGCCATCCTCTGCTGTATAACCAAACAACATATTAAATCATACAAATGTGATGTGATCTGAAATCATAGTTCTGTATGTTAGTCTTGTATGAATGTCTTAATGATTTCTTAATTATTGTTTGTCTGGTTTTTGGATTTTTAAATAACTTTTTCTCCCCTTACTTCCCCATGGATGTTGTCAAACAAGAAGATGCATCTAATGCTGCAGAAGTGGAACTTAATTCTAAATAAAAGGCCTTTACTCTTTCTGATTCAGGTCTATGATAGGTGTTTCAACAAGAACAAAATTATTAGATACTAATGTAGCTGGTACCTTTCCAAATGTGCAGGTTGTGAGGTTTTTGGGTTTTTTTTGGTTTTTTTTTTTGGGGGGGGGAGGCGTTTTTAATTTTAAGCACATGAAACAAGGAAATTTATTCCTGCTTGGCTACAAAGGTCACTCATATAATTTGTAAGACTGTAGTTCTGTGATTTTTTATCTTTGAAACTTTTGCAGTTGTCATTTCCTTTTTCAATCAGAAAGCAGGTACCTTAAAGTTCAATATTTAGAAGATGATTTTGGAACAGGGTTGCTGGTGCACAGAAAGCTTTCTGTGTTGGCATTGAAAACTTGTGTTTAGGGGCTGCTTGAGACCAAGACAGCAGACCCTTCTGTCAAGGGGAGATTGCTGCCCTTTAAAAGCAGCACAACCCCCCTCAGTTCTGTCAGGAGCTACAGGCTGGTTTTTGTTGCTGTTTTTTTGTTGGGGTTTGCTTTTGTTTGTTTGTTGTTGGTTTTTTTAACTAGTGTTGGGAGAGCATGGTTCTGTGAGCAGATTATTTGGTGAGCCCTGTTTCCATAAATAATTTTGTCTTGCTCAAGGCACTTGGCAGTTGCAGAGCTGACAAATGCCTGAAAGTCATTAAACACAGGTGCTTGTAATTGCTAATGAATTTCATTTTTGCAGTGGGGAAGGACTGAATCAAAGTCACTAAAACACTTGCTCAAGTCATCTGTTGCCTAGGTATAAGTTAGTTCCTAGTCTAAAGGTGTGTTTATTTTGTTTGCAGTGGCATGCTCTCTCCCGTGAAGAACAAGCAAAATATTATGAACTAGCTCGTAAAGAAAGGCAGCTACACATGCAGCTTTATCCAGGCTGGTCTGCAAGAGACAACTATGTAAGTCACTCACTTGAAGGTTCTTCTTTAAAATTCTTTTTCTTTTTGTAACTTCCAAAATTACTATTGTTTCTTCTTTTCCTCTGTAACATGTGGAAAGTTCTGGATGAAGGGATGGTGAACATACATATAACATAAACCTTATATTTGTTTTCACTTTAAGCACCCAGAAAACTTGGGTTGTTGTTGAGATAATTCTTAGAAAATTCACAGTTTTTGAGGGGTAAAAATAGCATGGAAAGTTTTTTCCTAAGACAATGGCCAGTACTGTCTGGAAGCTCATGTTATACTGTACAGCTGTGAATTTTCCATCATTTTCTATTTGATCACTTATTATCCAGAAATCTTTCTTAGATCTGAGAAAAAAGGGATGTCTCATTTTCAAGAGAACTGAAAGCCCAGGGGTCTCAGTGCAGACTGACCTTTAGCTGAAATTAATTCAGAATGGTCCATCTGTGCAAATCTTGTATAAGTAACCTTCATGGTAGAGGCTCTTTTTATACATAGATATATAAATGTATATGTTAAGAAGTTTTCTTACAGTTACTTTTGTTTTATAATTAAATAGCCTTCACTGTATGGTTACATTCTGGTGCCTCCAATGAGCTGTCAGTGTAGCCAAATTTGATGATATCAAGCTCAGAAGCTGCAGTCCTGAGAGACTGATCCTAACCCGAGATCTGAGCTCCTTTCTGTCCCTGCATTAGATGTGACACCATCTACTGGGATAGGAAATGTACATGCTATATCTGGCTCAATTTTCCTTCTGCATTAGGGGGACAGTAGTTTTTCTCTACTTCAGTGATGTCTTTGGACATTAAGCATTGAGGTACCTAAACACAATGTTGACAGACTGTAGAAACTGGCACAGAATGCATTGACACAGAAACTATGTGATTATCTCTGAAGGAAATGCTCTGGCCTTGCTGACATGCATGCCCAGTTCTCTAAGCACAGACACAACTGAAAGCCCTAGCAGCTTCTTTCTGTTCGTTTTATATGGCAAATAAACTGTCCTGACACTACACAGGTAGGGTTTATTTCCAGTAGCCAGACCGTGTCAACAGAGCTGCCTTGAAGTATAGCTGGGAACAAACGGTCTTAGGGAAAGACACCCTGGAAACAAGGGGGTTTAGCTTGTCTCAAATTCACTTGCTGGAAAATCACACCACTTTGGAGTCTTATCAGTTTGTGCTTACTGGACATCAGGCTTCAAGATGGTCCTGTGATGTTTGGTCACGTTGGCTTTGAGAACCCTGTGTTCTGCCCCAGCCTGTGCCACACAGCACAAGCAGCGGACCTGCGGTTTCTTAAAGGCCTTGACAGACATTTGGAGTGTGTGAGGTGGCACGTATGAGTTATCTCTTTGATGTGCTTCCAACCTACATCCTGTGTGGAAGTATAGCTCTGACATACTCCAGTCCTGTATGTTACAATGAAGAACTCTGCTAGCTTCCTCTTGCAGCCCTCCGCTTTGCCTCTCCAGGAATGCACACGTTCTGCAGTGGTGGTCAGATGGTGGTCATAGGAGAGCACAGTTTATTACTGAAACTTTTTCAGATACGTGGCATCTTTTTTTTTTTCTCTTCAGTTTTCCTAACTTTAGCAGTCAAAAAGTGGAATTGTAATTATTTAGCACAGGCATTACTCCAGTATTTTAAGGGTTGGAAGTGACTTAGGCATGGTTCTTGTGTTTCACAAAACAGTACAAGTAAAAAATGCGTACGGTTTGGTTTTAGTTCTTCTACTTTGGTTTGCCTGGTTTTAGGAATTTTTGCCTTATTTTAGGAATTTTAAGAAAATGATAAACATTGTTATTCAACTGTTGAAACTATCTTTTTCATATGTTTTTATTACTGATACCCAAAGCAATCATGCAAAATTGTGTGATAGACATGAGAAGCACAATGTTTTCACAACATCAAGGTGTCTGTGTGCGCTGCGGTTGTCAGAAACTATCTTATTTGGGAATGCTGACAACTAGTTTTCAGCCCAGTCTTATATTTGTTCACTTGTGTTATCTCATAGGTAGATCTCAGATCACCTTTCAGTTTATGCTTTAGCACTTGATGTCAGCCTGACATAGAGAATAAAACAAATTTTCCTCCCATGACTTTTCCATGTTAACATCTGCACTAATGCACTTTCCTCTCTAAAAATGCATTGCCTTGGTGCCTAAGTGATGAAGCATATTGCTGGGAGCTCCCCAGAGCCCTTGAAATGTGTTTTCCAACTTCTAGTCTTGGTCCTGACTTTGGAATCCTGCTCACAAGGCATTGCCCAAACCTGTTGCCAGCCTTGGGATAAATAAGGACAGGAGCTTGAGAGTCAGGCAGGCCCAGACTGTCAGAACAGAGTGGAGGCTACTTAAGTTGGAACTTCATCACAGCCTGTATTTGGAGTCCTCCCTTGCTGTCTATCAATCAGTGAGCACTGCAGGGGTTTGAGGTGGTTTCTCACATCACCTGCTGTCCATCTCAGCACCTTGCAGAGCCAGCTTGTGGAAAGGTGTGTCCCAGCACCTGTGCCTTCCCCTCTGAGGCCAGTGTATGTGTGGCATGCTCTGTGCTGGGACATGCAATTGCCAGCCATGAGAGTGGTGGGGCCAGAGGATGGGCAGCAGGCTGCAGCCCTGCTCACAGAAACTGCACCAGCCTTTGCCAGAGCTCATCTGTTGCAGCCTGCCTGGAGGCTTCTTTAAAATATAAATGGATATGATTTTTTCTTAAAACACACACAAAAAGCTTTCACTGATTACAGAGGGCAATAAAGACAAGACATATGGAGGAATATCAGTGATGGTTAGGGTGATGCAAGATAATTGAGGTTTAAAATTGTGGGTCTAAGCTGACCTTTTGTTTCAGTTGACAGATTGTGTAAAGCAGGAGCTGTGGCCATTTCCATAGATGGGGGTGCAGGAGGAGGCTGAGTGTGTAGGTTGGCAGGCTGTGGCCAGTGTGGTCTCTCAGAAAGACAGCTGCCAGGCATTCATTTTTGTTCTGCACTTCAGCCATGTTAAGGGTGCTCTGCTGTTCAGTCTCTGCTGTTTGGTTATTGCAGAGCACGCTCTCTGGGCACAGCCACAAGCAGACTTGGCTTTTGTTTAGGTACCAGCATTATCAGAACAGCTTTAGTTGGCTGGTTTGCACCCTGGGGACAAGTCGTAGTTGTCCTAGGTACTTTCAACACCCTGTCTGCTCCTACCATGTATGACAGTGTAAGTATCTGAATGTGTGAAGAGTTCTTGTAAGAGCCATAAATTATGATATCAACATACGTGTCATCAGATTATTGAGCATGAGAAGTCTTTTCGGTACTTGCGGCTGCCAGTGTTAGTTGAAAAACTGCCAGAAATTGTAATTCCATGTGGATATAAATATATGTATTGCTGATGTGCATATTTCTCCACAGATGCTCAGAGCAAACTTTGTTACCATTGAACTCATTAAAAGTGGGATAGAAAAGCTACCCTGAAAATAATTGGGTTTTTTCCTAACATTTTCAGTGTCCAGATGACTTTTGCTGTGAGGTAAGTGACAAAAAAACGTTCTGTGAATGTAGTGGCATGATAAAATTTCCTATTTTTCAGGGGAAGAAAAAGAAGAGGAAGAGAGAAAAGTTGCAGGAATCAGCATCAGGTAGGCCATGACCACCTCTTGCTTGCCATTCACCTCAGGTGTATTTTAGAAACCAGGGCTTACGCTATTTAATTTTTACGAGCTTTTGTCTAACACTTGCTTCTGGTGGATGTTTTAAGATATTTCCCTTGGAATCTAAGTTTGTGAACATGCACACAACCCGTGCCTGCTTTCCCTTACACCTTCCTGTGCAGCAGTCCTGACGGCATCAACATCTTTGGCTGAAGTTAAGCATTACTGCAATCACTGTCCTGCTTTACCTTTGCTTTTCTCCTCAATCTCTGTTGTGTCATCTTTAGACTTAATTATGTCTCAAATACTGTGTGGTATTTTTGGACACTGGAAACTTCACACAGACCTTTTGTAGTAACTGTATTTTATCTCACTGTATTTTACGTTTCTTTGTACACTAACAGCTGCCTAGTAGGTTGGCTAAAAGCATCAGTGAGGTCTCCTCTTTGCCTTTAAAATATTTATAAAGAAACACCCTGTTTTCCCCAACAAAAAATGGCTGGTATAAGAACCATAAAAAAACCCAAACAACAAAACCAAAAAGCACACACAAAAAAAATTCCATGTAACACTGTAGCAAACAAACTTACTTGGAATGTGCAAAAACTCTGTAACAGAAATTTGTTAAAGGAAAACAATCTTCTACAGGTACAGGCCCCAGAATGACAGCTGCCTACATCTGAAGCATGGTAAGAACATCTCTAAAGCTTTCCTGCTGATAAAACTGAATTGTAAAATAAGCCTTCTTATAAATTTTATGCAATAATATGAATTTAGCAAAAATTGCAGAACTACCATATCCCAAAGCTGATGTTACTTTGATTACTGATGGTTTTTATACCGGCTATCTATTAGGTGTTCACCATTTCACTGCTTAACCATAATATTTTCAAATTGATCATACCTCACTGACTCACTACAAGTCTGCCTGTGAATCAGGGATGGGTTTATTAAGTGGTGCAAGCCCTCCCAGACTGTCACAGCTCATAAGAGCAGGGTAGACGCTGGCTTTGAAGCATATTTTATGGCCTGACATCAACAAGATTCTGGCTGGCTGGGTACACCTTTTAAAAACAATTTATTCACCTGTATACTAACAAAACACCTGCTAAGAAAATGGGACTGTATTTCAGTTGTTTCAAGAATTTCTCCCACAGCTGTACGGTGGTATTTCATGTGTGGTGCAGGTTGGGGTTTTTTGTGGTTGTTGTATTTCCAGCATGTGTTTTCTTTCTTTATATCATATTACCTGCACTGAGGGTGGAATGACTAGTGATTACATGTGTGCAATAACACCATCTAGTCAGCTTGTGAGTGCACACAGTACCACAGTGAGATTCTAATTTCCCAGTGTCTGTGTTGGAAGGCTCATCCCTCTCTTTCTCTCAGTGTGATGTGTTTTCTAGTAGGAATGGCATTAATTTGAAATAATAGTAGCTTCCAAGCTACTAACCCATAATTGCACTTGGGAGATCCCCAAGAATTCCAGGAATCATGCAAATAAAATTACAACTTTTCAAAATCACCTATGCACTGTATCAGAAATGGGCTCTGTCCTCTCTGCCTTGTTTGGCCACGGGTTCCCTGTGGCACTCAAGAGCAGTCAGCAGAGCAGGCTCCTGTTGGCCTTCTGCTCTGCTTGGACTTTCAGCCTGAGAAAGCCAACTTCACTTTCCTGTGTGCAGTGTGTCAGTCAGCAGTCAGCATGATTCAAGCCTCTTCTGAAGTTATGCCATTATGCTGGTTAGTCTAAACTTGGTTAAGACAAGACTTTGTTGGTTTGTTGTTTTTTTGGGTTTTTTTTTAAAGCTGAAGTAAAGTGAAAAGGCAAAATGTATGCTCTTTTTTCTTCCTAATAAGCAGAAGTTTTTCAGGCAAGCAGGCAGCCTTGCCCTTTGCAATGTGCCTGAGTCATGCTGATTTGAGATGTGGATTGCAGTGTTGGGGGTCTGTAGCCTATACAACAAATGTAGCTGTAAAATATTGTTACTTAGAACATTATATCTACTGAAAAATAAAGTGCTTTAACCTTGAGTTTTATAATTGATATTTCAGCTTAGTTGCCCAGGTCCATGACTGTTGTGAATATTTTTCACTTTGATCTTAACACAGTACCAGTAGGCAAAATACCCATAATTTTATCTGAATTCATGCAGAGTACTTGACTGGGATTGGAATATAACTAAGGTTCAAGTGACAGTGTAAAAACAGGGAATATTTGGTTTCTTGGATGCCTTACAGTCTTGCCTATGCTGACCTACTTTTTTTGGAATTTCTCTGCATTTTCTGTATTACAGGTTGAATGTTCTGAGTGTGGGGGTTTTTCTCTCCCTTTGACCTTTACACTCCTGCATTCCTGTGTTGTCTTAGGCTTTGTAACAGTGTGGAAACTGTTGGCAATATCTGTGTCTTCAGGCAATTTGTAGCACAGAGTCTGAGAACAGTAGTGTGTTCTTTAGGGAAGGGTAAGTGTGCCGTTGACTCCATATATGCCTGTGAAGGCAGCCTCACTAAGTGTTTCATGCTGAGTGAATGATCTCTACAGATGTGCTCTTACTGGAAGTAGATGCACAGAACAATTTAGGGAACCTGAATCAACCAGACTTCAAAGTAAACTTCTGAAGGTTAAGGCTCTTGCCCTCTGCAAGCCTAATCCAAAGAATGTTTTGCCCACAAGCATATCTTACCAGGCCCACAGCAGAGCTGTTGTAGTCTTTACAGGATGGAGATAATAAGTTTGGGAATAGCTTTCTTACTCGCATGGATGGTGTAAGGAAGAGGGAGAAGGAGGGTGGGAGGTCTGGGAAGGAGACAAGCTTCTGTTATCTGAGAAGAATCAGAAATGAGTAGGTGGCAAGACCAAAGAAAGAATCTCAAGATCAGCACAAAGGAGATCAGCCAGGGCTGTAATTACGGTGATGTAAGTGAGAAGGATGAAATGGTGGGAGGGTTGTGTGGTGGGATGTTCAGAGGAAAGTAACGGAAGAGACATGCAAACAGACATGATTTAAGATACTGTGAAAGTTTTGGGTGTGGGGTTTTTGTTGGGCTTTTTTTTTTGTCCATGAACATTCAGCAAGTAACTGATTTTTAAGGTGGACTCTAATCCTGCTTTATGACTTGAACATGATTAGAGTGGTAAAGTCAAGGTGGTAGCATTAAGTTGCCCCCTTTCCAAGAGCTGTACCACAGCAGGAGGCATCTTATGGCTTCACTGCTTAGGATTTAACTGAGTTCTGTGAACTCCAACCTGCTGAATGGCCAATTTGTAAAACACTTCAGAATGCTCTAGGAATACTGTGACCCTCTGCACCAGTCTTTGCTATATTATCCTGGGTTACTACAAAGCATGTCCTTCAAGAGTTGTGGAACTGTCCCAGGAAGGATTTTGTTTGCAGCTGACATGGCCCAACACAATGTTTGAAATAACTTTAATTTATTGAAGGAATAATTATTATTTATTATCTTCTTTTGAAATCAACCAAGAGTGGAATTTTACCTGATAGTGCTAAAAATAAATTGAGGCAAGGCCAGGGAGGGAAGGGGAAACGAGGAAAGCTAAGATAAAGGACAATGTAGAGATCACCCATTGAGCACCTTTCTGAAAGATGGTTTTTTACCTTAAGCACAGCCTTCTAGGGGATTTGTAAATAGGACCAATTCTGTCTTGAAAGTGGGAATTTCTAATTTCCTATCAAGAGTGACTTTTGGAAATTAAAAAAAAGATGATTTTTAGCATCTCTTGAGTATTTTGAAATCAGTAAGGGAATAGAAGGGTACTAACAAAAATTCCTCTTTGTTCTGCAGCATGGAAATACTTAACTTCTTATGACTTGCTCTGTACAGAACTCTAAAAGGCATATCATTCAACATATGGCAAGATGCAATTGGGAAACTACATAATTTAACATTGTGTTTTGGCATATCTTCAAGGGCTAAAAAGAGTGATAGAGAAGCTTAAGAGACATCTGAAAACCTGTGAGAAGTATATTTGTGGCTTGCAAAATTCCATGACAATTAGCATCTGCATTAGCAAAGCTTTCAAAACCAAGAAAACTTGACTAATACTGATTTGCAATCAAAAGTACTTAAAAGGATGAGATTAATACCATTTAACTTTGAACAATGAATTATCTTAACATTTTGAACTTCCTACATGGAAATTGGAGCCAAATTTCAGCACAGAACTGATTTCTGGGCAGTAATTTATGACTGGATTATGTTTTCCCTATTACGTAACTATAAAAAGGAGTGAGGCAGTGAAAGCAGACTATAAAGTGGACCAGCCCACAGCCACAATAGTGTGGAAAAGAAGCATCTGATGACTGTGGTTGTGGTTGACCATGGGTTTCTGGCCAGCATCTGAGAAAGGAGATGCAAAGAGGATGTGGTACCTACCTTTCTGAGGCATGTTTTCAAACCTGGGTTGTCCAGTGCTCTTGAAATTGCTGCTGGAGTAGTTCAAATTGAAACAAATGCTCCACCCCTTCCCATAGCTCTCGACTGCTCAGAAGCTTTAAACAGAGCTTGGAGAACTTGCACAGAAGTTAGTCTCTGTGAGAATGTGTGTGGTGATGGTGGTTCAGAGATTTGTCCTGATTTGCTTTAAAAATTGTTTCCTGTGTGACCCATATTTCTCTATTCCCCATTTTGCCCATGAGTAGTGGCCTTCAGCACAGGCAAGAGGGACAGAATGAGCAGAAGATTTTCTGGACTGAAATATTTGTATTATTTCAGATAGGCATAAAATTTCCGAAGGAAACGAGTATAGCCCCCCCATGCAAAATGATCATAGCCCTCAGACAGATCCTGGCTAGGATTGAAATGGACCTTAAAATCATGTAGTTCCAATGGTCCCCCACCACGGCCAGGGACACCTTCCACTAGACCACGTTATTCAAAGCCTCATCAAATCTGGCCTTGAACACTTCCAAAGATGGCACAACTTCCCTGGGCCTCACCACCCTCACATTAAAGAATTTTCTTCC